GGAAGGAAGGAAGGATGGAAGGAAGGAAGGAAGGAAGGAAGGGGGAAGGACCTGCAGCAATCAGATCTGAGCTGTGATGGAAGGAGTCACCCCTCTGGGTAGTGAGTGTCTCGTCGCTGGGAGCAATCAAGCAGCACCAGAAGGCGATCCCTGCACAGGGCAGGGCGGGGGCCTCTCGGATCCCCCTCACTCGGCTTACTGTCCCCTAAAGATGCCCATCCCAGGCCCGGAGAGTAATAGCTCGAAAGGAGTGGAACAGCCCGCCATGCACCGGGCCGCGCGCAGGGGGAGGCGTGATAAATGCGGCCACACCGGGCAGCGTCGGGGCCTCTCGGATCCCCCTCACTTGGCTTACTGTCCCCTAAAGATGCCCATGCCAGGCCCGGAGAGTAATAACTGGAAAGGAGTGGAACAGCCCGCCATGTACCGGGTGGCGTGGGGGAGGCGTGATAAATGCGGCCACACCGGGCAGCGTCCCCTCAGACACCGGAGGTGCCTCACGAGCAGATGCGTCAAGATGACGGATCCCTCCAGACACAGAGCCATCACTCTCCTCCCGGGAGCCAAGGGCCAGGTGACGCGCCTCCAAGCCTGCGGGTTTAGGAATCGGAGCGCTTGCCCGTCTCACAGCAGAGACCCAAGTGGAAGCCTCGGGATGTGTGGGGCCACCGAGGCCGCCCTGGGGCCTGGGGCTGCCTCCCTCCCCGGCGCTGGGTGTGCGGGAGATGCCCACCAGCCCTGGGTCTCCCCCTGCGCGTCCATTCCGAGGCAAAGGGCGTCGCTGAATCGGGGCTTCCCGACATCACGGCACAAATCAGCACGGTCGTCACCGTCCTGGCGCTGGCACGGGTTCCGCCTCCACGCGGGAGCGGCGTGTTAACAAACGGGGCGCGCCCGCCGCCGGGCTCATGGTTGAGTGGGACCTAAGCTTTTGTTCTTTTTAAATCCTCGCCCCAGGATATCTTCCCACTGATTTCCCAGAGAGAGTGGGAGAGAGCGGGAGAGACAGAGAGAAGCATCGATGTGAGAGAGACACATCGATGGGCTGCCTCCTGCACGCGCCCCGACGGGGATGGAACGGTGACCTCCAGGCTCACAGGTCGATGCTCAACCGCCGAGCCCCGCCGGCCGGGCCACATTCTCAGTGCTTTCCAATGCAAACGACCAGCGTTTTGAAAAGAACCGAATCCAAATTGGTCTGGAAAACTGCACCGTCTCGGCCTGGGCCGGGGACCCGCACGCCCGTCGGCGTCTCTCAGCATCTCAGCCGCCCTGACGGCTCGGTCCCTGCGGACCGTGCTCTGACCTGCCTCCCAGAGCTTCCCCAACCGAGTCTCCCTCAGAACTCAGGCCCCGCAGGTGAAAACGCCCCACGAAAAAACCAGCTGTTGGGATGCGCTGCGATCAGCGAAGGAACACAAAACCCATAGCCCACGCTCCTGGGCGCGAACTTCAGCGGAGGAGCCGGAGCCGGAGCCGGAGGCAGGCGGAGGGAAGCCACACGGCAGGACGGAGGCAGCGAGGGTGACGCGAGGGTGTTTGGACACACGGAGGCGACCCCCAGCGAGAAAAGAGGTCATAACTTCCCGGAAATTCCCCAACGTCTTTCCCCAACGCCAGGCCCTTTGGGGGGGGCGGGGGGAAGGGGGGAGAAGAAGCACAAAATCCAAACACAATCACGTCTGGTTTTGAAAAATACCTATGAGCTCCCGGCAGCCGTGGCTCAGTGACTGAGCGTCCACCTAGGAACCAGGAGGTCACGGTTCGATTCCCGGTCAGGGCACAGGCCCGGGTTGCGGGCTCCATCCCCAGTGCGGGGCGTGCAGGAGGCAGCCGGTCCATGATTCTCTCTCATCACGGATGTTTCTCTCTCTCTCCCTCTCCCTTCCTCTGTGAAACCAACGTCTGAGCAATTGTTCTGGGCCACCAGGGTCTCGGGCTTCTGTGGCCTATCCAGGTGACGCTGCCATCGAACTGTGACCTCCTGGTTCATCGGTCACGCTCAGCCACTGAGGCACGCCGGCCGGGTCACTCGAAGTAAAGACACAGAACGAGGGGGCCATTTCAACCGGAAAAGCGAGCATCGTGGGGTCGGCACAGGCAAAGGGTTAGAGGTGGGGAAAGGCTGCGATTAGAGGAGGGCGCATCGGACCGGCTCCCCCCACGGCGTCCCCAGGCGAGCAGGTTTATACTCAAGCAACCCTCATCGGAAATATCTGCCCGTGCCCCAGAGAGTCCAAAATTATGCTTTTGCCAGAACTAAAAACAGAAAAGAACAAGACAATCTCTCCAACACCTCCCTTAATTAATGGCCCAAGCAGTCAAGCCTGGGTCCGTAGGAACGACACGGGAGCTGTTTGCATATTTATGAGAGTGAGAAAGAGAGAGAGAGAGAGAGGTGCAGGACGTGACTCTGCACATTTAAGAATGCCCCAATGTTGACAGCACACTCCTGTCTGCCTTGGCAAGCAGGTGGCGCGTCTATATTTGTGCCTAAAACGTGCTCCTAATGCCGACGCAGAATTCCACTAATCCGGGGCTGCTCATTGGCGGGAAACTCACCAGGAAAATCCCACGATCTGGGACGGTCTGTTGCCGCCATTCGTCTAGGGAAGAAAGTGGGTTAAAAGTTAGAAAAACAGCCCTGGCTGGTGTTGCTCAGTGGGTAGAGCGTCGGCCTGTGGACTGACGGGTCCCGGGTTCGGTTCCAGTCCAGGGCACATGCCTGGGTTGCGGGCTCGATCCCCAGTAGGGGGCGTGCGGGAGGCAGCCGATCCATGATTCTCATCATTGATGTTTCTCTCTCTCCCTCTCCCTTCCTCTCTGAAATCAATAAAAATATATCTTTTTAAAAAGTTAGAAAAGTAAAAAGTTGCTTTTGTGAAGAAGAAGAAGAAGAAGAAGAAGAAGAAGAAGAAGAAGAAGAAGAAGAGGAGGAGGAGGAAGAAGGAGAAGGAGAAGAAGGAGGAGGAGGAGAAGGAGGAGGAGGAGGAGGAGAAGGAGGAAGGGGAGGAGGAGGAGGAGGAGGAAGGGGAGGAGGGGAAATTCTTGGAAAAGGACATTTTAAAAAGCAAGTCCCCGTGGACACTATCCGATGCCCATCTTCCTCAAATGGGTAACATTGCCATGGATTTGCTCTGAAAGGAATGGGGAATGGAGACGGGCCCCAGCGAAGGTGCTGTGAAGCCGTGCTAACACATGAGCAGAGCGAAGACGTTCACACCAGCACTGTTTACATGAAAAAATACTCTGGAAACCATGTGAACACCCGTGGATGGGAAGATACTTTGTTTCATTTTTCTAATACGTTTTTATTGATTTTTTTAGAGAGAGAGGAAAGGAGAGGGAGAGAGAGAAACATCGGTCAGCTGCCTCCCGCACGCCCCCTCCTGGGGATCGAGCCCGAAATCCAGGCCTGTGCCCTGGGCCACGATCGAAACCGCGACCCTTCAGTCTGCAGGCCAACGCTCTACCCACTGAGCCACACCACCTGGGGCAGGTTGCTGCTGGTTTTTAACAACGGGTTCTACAACTAACGACTATAGGAAGGAACCAGGGGAAGTCAGCAGTGTCTCTCTCCCCCCGAAATACCGTAGTCCGGAGGAGACATCTGTTGTTTTTGCCGGCCCAGGCTCCAGCCCTCCTCCTGTTCCTCCCTCCCAGCTTCCCCCCGGGGGAGCCATCCTTCCTGGCTCCTGGCCCCTGGGGTTCGGGGGGATGGATGCCACCCAGCACGTGACCCAGGCCAACTGGTGTTTTCTGTCCTCTGAGCCGAGTGCCAGATTTCAGGATGGGCCCAAGCTGGGCCCCTTGGATGAAATCCTGAGAGAGATCAGTGAAACTACTAAGAAAATTCCATTCTCTTTCCCCTTGGAGGATGGGGGGGCCTAAGGGTCTGGGGCCACGGGCAGCTGTTCGGACACCTCCCGAGGGAAACCTGCCCAGGAGCACAGCCGACAGAGGGCAGCAAAGCCGGGCACTGGAGAGGAGCCTCCAGTGACACTGTCTGAGCGCCTGGATGCAGCTGTACCTGAAGCTGCCACAGAAAATCCATGCCTGGATTTTTCCACTGCAGAGCCAATACATTCTTTCAATAGATAGAAAGATGACAGATGAATAGATGATAGAGATAGATCAGTGATGTCTTTGGTTGATTTTTCTTTGTTAAATGGCATTTAAATATATAAAATAAATATCAAAAATATAAGTCTTTGTTTTACTGTGGTTGCAATATCAAAAAATTTCTATATGTGACACGGCACCAGAGTTAAGTTAGGGTTTTTCAAAATGCTGACACGCCGAGCTCAAAAGGTTCGCCATCACTGACCTA